CTCCTGGCGCTCTACTGCCCACGCGCCCAGGTCGCCGCTGGGGCTGGCCGCGCGGAGGCGTCTCCCTGCGGCCCACGTGGCGGGGGTCAGCGTTAGCAGGGGGCCTGCCGATCTCCCCCCCTCTTTGCGTACTCTGGCTGGCCCGGCCGCCTGTGGGGGCCACGTGGATCCGGTCTCCCCCCCTCCTCCCTCCTCCTCCTCCTCCTCCCTCCCCTCCTCCTCCTCCCCCTCCTCCTCCTCCTCCTCCTCCTCCTCCTCCTCCTCCTCCTCCTCCTCCTCCTCCTCCTCTCCCCCTCCTCTCCTCCTCCTCCTCCTCCTCCTCGCTCCCCTCCTCCTCCTCCTCCTCCTCCTCCTCGTTCTCCTCCTCCTCCTCCTCCTCCTCCTCCTCCTCATCCTCCTCCTCCTCCCTCGTCCCCCTCCTCCTCCTCCCCGTCGTCGTCCTCCTGTCCTGCGACATTCATTCAAAAGCTGCAAAAGCTGTCCGCGGTGTGTCCAACAAGGGTCCACCCTGGCCAGTTTTCAAAGCTTCGTCCAGCTGTGGTTGCGAGAGCCCATTGAAACGCCCAACGATCTTTGAAACGATGACGTCGTCGCTGCCGCCGCTGCCACTTCCGTCACAGTCACCCGTGTCGTCGTCGTCGTCGTCGTCGTCGTCGTCGTCGTCGTCGTCGTCGTCGTCGTCGTCGTCGTCGTCGTCGTCGTCGTCGTCGTCGTCGTCGTCGTCGTCGTCGTCGTCGTCGTCGTCGTCGTCGTCGTTGTCGTTGTCGTTGTCGTCGTCGTCGTCGTCGTCGTCGTCGTCGTCGTCGCCGCCGCCGCCGCCGCCGCCGCCGCCGCCGCCGCCGCGCCGCTGCCACCCGTCGCCGCCGCCGCAACCCGTCGTCGCCGTCGCCGTTGCCGTCGCCGTCGCCGTCGCCGTCGTCGGTTCCGTCTCCGTCGCCGTCGCCGTCGCCGCTGTCCCGGAGACTCCGCCCAGGACCGTTGCCCAGACCTCTCCCGGGGTCCGTCCTGGCCGCCCCTTCGAGCCGCGCCCAGCCGTGGCGGGTGGAGAAAGTCCCCTCGGCGGCGAGCGAGGGGGCGAAGTGGGAAGGAGAACCACTTGTCAGAAGGCTCAGAAGTCCCCCAGCATTCTGAGAAGTGTCTAAGCCTCCCCCGAAGACAGACAACAAACTTCTCAGCAGGCGCGACGGCTTCTGTGTGAAGTCCCGCCGCCTTCTGAGAAGGCCTTCTCCTTCTCGCTTCCCCCCTCGCTCGCCGCCAATCCTACGTCGGGCATATCCCTCTACTGGAGGAATACCCAAAAATAGTCAAAAAGTTGTCTGGGGACGATCATTCGATGATTTATACATATAACGGGGACCGGGTCCGGGGGCCGGGGTCCAGGATCACGACGGCAAATGTGGGGCCCGGGGCTTGGGCCCGCTTCTGGCACGCTTGAAATCGCCCCGGGGAGCCCCCAGACATCAATCCCGGCGGCCCCAGGCGGTCTCGAGACACCCCCAAGGCGCCGTCCAGGGGTCTCCGGCGACGCACGATGCGTTTTAAATTGCTCCGGAGGCTCCCAAGACGCTCCAAGAGGCTTATAGGATGCCGCCCAAGAGCGCCCCGAGAGGGCAAAATCGTTGATTTTCATTTTTGTTGGCTTTGAATGATATGTTTTGCATTCTCTCTGTTTCGTGTTTCTGGCGCTGAAGCACCGCCCAAGAGGCTCCACAAACCGCTCCAAGACGGCCCAAGAGGCCCCCAAGAGGGCCCCAAGACGGCCCGAAAGAGCCCCGAGACGGCCCCAGAGCCGCCCAAGATGGCGCAAGAGGGTCCAGGCCCCAAGAGGGGCCCAAGAGAGGGAACGCGAACTGAAAAAACAAGCTCTCCGCCCCAAGATGCCCCCCCCCAAGAGGCCTCAAGATGCCCCCAGGAAGCCCCCTAAGAGGCCCCAAGATGCCCCCAAGAGGCCCCAAGAGGCCCCCAAGAAGCCCCAAGGAGGCTCCAAGAGGCCCCAAGACGGCACCCAAAAGGCTTCAAAACTCTTTCTAAGAGGCCCCCGAAGACATGACAATAAAGTCCCATGACGACTTCAAGAAGCAGTCCAGGATGCTCCGAGGAGGCCCCAAGAAGCTAGCTAGAACGTGAGCGTGCGCGAAGCGCGCGCGATGCGATGGTTCTAGTTTTGAGTATTCTTGAATATCTGTGGACTATTTTTAAAAATTTTCGCTCAAAATCCGCCTGCAGGAGGACACGCCCAGCCTAACGCCAATCCCCGATTCGCCCAGGAGGCCACCTCGGCGGCCGCCCGCACCGCCGCACCGCCGCGCGCCCGCGGGGCCAATGGCCGGCCAGCGCCCGCGTTCGCGCGCGCTGGCGCTCCTCGGGTTCGCCGCGCTGGCGTGCGGGGCGGGGGCGGCGGGGCCCCCGCCTGGCGGGGCAGGGCTTCCTTGGAGGGCGCAAGGGCGTGCACCTGCACACTCCAGGCCTCCCAGATGGCAATAGGGGTCCTCCTCCTCCT